TATATATATATATATATTTTTTTTTTTTATTTGTTATATGTTTCTTATGTTTTACTACTTGATGGTAATTCAGATGTATCTTGTTTAGCAATATTTGTATCCGTCGACGAACTTTGTCCTATAGAATTGTCAGGTTGTAATCTTTCAGGACGATTATTGCTATCTTCGTGTAGATCGTTATCTGGTTGACCAATGATAGGTACATCCAATGAATCCGACGACATGCGTCTCCCATTACTAAATTGTTCAGCTAAATCCAATTGGGTATCCCTGGTATCCCTGACATTGTTCAACGAGTCAGAACTTAATGATGGAAAATCTAATGTTGTTTTCATTTCCAATGAATCTGAGCTCTGACACAATGGGTGATGTTTTTTATCCGCATTATCTTCCAATTCTAATGAATCCGTACTAGTTTCCATGATATTAGTATCTTTGGCACGTTGGGTGTCATCGGTTTCTAATAAAATTGGTACGTTTGCTTCAGAACAAGTTTTTTCAATATCCGTTATTTCTATTTGTGAAATATCTTCAGTCGTATCATCCTGACGATCTAATCTCTCAACGTTTGACTGTGCAATACGTATTATCTCGTCGATTTCTTTTATTCTTTTTTCGTAATCATCAGAACCAGAAGTACTTGGATTAATCGAGCCAGCACCACTGGCCTCCGATTTACGTTGAATACTTTCCATTTTGTATCTATTTTCAGGACTTTCGTGTTCCAATAAATCTTCTTCCTCCCTAGCACGTAATTCAATTAAATGAGCTTCCCTGCAAGCCCTTTCCAAACCTTCGAAATCTTTTAACGAGGATAAAGAAATATCATCACCGTGACCAGACCTACTGGTCATGTACCTTCTCGGAAGACTCCCATTGTTAATCGAATCCTGTGAACCGCATTGTTGCAATCTTTTCGAATTTTCTGCTGCCACTGCGCTCTCCAAATGCTCGAATTCCTGTAACGAACTTAAAGACACGGTATCGTGATCCGATGGTTTAGTGAAATATTTCTTTCCAGCTAGAACATCGTAATCCGGAGTACTACCAAAACTACCCCGCATACTACCAACGCTTCCTATAGATTCCTTATGACTTCCTAAACTTCCAAATCTACTACTACCAGCCTCGAAATCAGTGATCTCTTCTTCTTTGATATCTTCCAACGGGCCACGATCATATTCGATATCGTATACCCTAGCATCAGCATGAAATTGCATTTCAATCCATTTCTTACCGGTCTCGTATGGTTCCTCGTCCGAATATGATTGAGAATATTGATCATCGTTAGACGCCTGTGGTGGACTTTCTTCCGATTCAAAATCAAACAATTCATTGTTACGCGAAGCTTGACTCGTTGAAACTTGAGAATCCTCTTTAGTTTCCGTTATTAAATTTTCCAAATCACGATCGTATTGTTTACTACTAACTTGTGGTATAGCAGTGATTCTTATACTTTTACCTTCGGAATCAAATTCTTCAGCTTCCCGACCAACTTCCTCTATCACCACGAAATCATCTATGATGTCAGGTTTATCAACCAATTCGAATGAATCGCTGCCAGGTGATTCCGAACGTTCGGATTTAGCTTTTTCAATGACTGTATCGATAGATAATCCTGAGGTTGATGACGTTGACATACTTCCTTGTTGTATCATAGAATGGGTCGACGTTTGCATGGTAACAATAGTTTCAGCAGTATCCTCAAGTGTCGTACCACTTATTATTCCAGATTTAGGTTCCAAAGAATCTGGTTCCATACTTAAGAAATCGATCGACTCGTCTGATAATTTTGAATCTTGAACTTCAGTATGCAGAATTTTGTCGGTAGGTATTTCGGTAGTAATAGACTCGATAACCTGAGTAGAGATAACTTGGGTTGATACACTTTGAATTCCATCCTCCGTGACCCTAGCCGTCATTATATCCACCGATTGAACTGCACCAGGTGTTAAGACAAATGCAGAAGTAGCGAAATCAATTCCTTTGGTATCTTGTTCCAAAATAGGTTCGTCTATATCAGTGTCGAGTGCTGCATTATCATCAACTATCTGTTGGAATATCATTTCTGATGATCTCTTCATACGACATGGTATATTGCTATCAATTTTATCCATGGCAACATCGTCTATGGGTATATCGCTACCGGATGAATCAGATTGAACGTGTTGTTCTTCTTCCTCCTCCTCCTCATCGTCATCGAATGCATGCTCCTCTAAATCCTCATGTTGTTGTTGTTGTTGTTCAAGTTTGTCGGCATCATCAGCCTCGGAAGCTACCAATGTTTCTGACAACTCGCTGGTACTATCGATACTACCAAGATGGCCTGAACTAAACGAACTTAAAGATTTCATAGATTCGCGAGAACTTAATGTACTCACGGCAGTCTGGTATTCTTGGGAGGTTGGCCTTGATGTTGCGGTCGTCGAATGTTCAGCCGACATCATAGCTGTCTCATACTCGGAAGTTGTACCCGATGGTGGCATCGTAGCTGATTGGAAGGCTTCTACATCAGACGAACTTGGTCTACTTCCGCTACCAATTTCGTAGTCGCACGATTGATAGTTGCTACTCTCACCGGAACTGGAACCAGGATCTATCTCACTCTCGGGAGCTATTTTTTTCGAGGCCCTAGCTGGTTTGTGACGTCTCCTTGGTACTGCTGTTGGTTGAGGCGGGTGCAACGAGGAGGAACTCTCATCTTTGTATTCTACGTCTGAGCATGATCTGCTTGCCGGTACGGGACTAGGACGGGTATCATCGTCATCATCCTCTTTGCTCTCTTCATGGACGGCAGATAGAGTTTCCGTTTCAGATTTGTCTAGCTCCATCTCAATATCCATACATACCTTTTCTTTATTATCCATATCTTCGTCACAGGATAATTCAAATTCTATATCATCCGAGACACTTTCTTCAGCCGTTACCGTTATCATTTCTTTCTCGTATAATTTCGAATCGTCTACAATTGTCGTTTTCATTTTTTCATCGATCGTTTCTTCTTTTTCTTTTTCTTCTTCTTCTTCTTCTTCTTCTTCTTCTTCTTTTTTCATCGTAATTTCTTTATCATCCACGGCTATCTGTTCCAAGGAAGGTGGTCTGTATAAAAAGGGCAAATCATTTGGTATACTTGATTCCGTTTGCAATTTAAATTGAAATTCGGATGGGGAGTCTTTGATTTGTATTACAGTCTCACTGTTCTCACTTAATTCCTCTATCAAATCTTGCCTAGCTGCCTCCAATGATTCCTTAACCTCAGCTATTTCTTTCTTAACTACTTGATCTAATACCGTAATAGCGTATCGTGCGCTTAAATCGACCTCTGGGAGATCTTTTGTTATTTTAAAGGCACATGTATCAGAAGAAGAAGAAGAAGAAATTACCGTACTAACTTTACCTCCTGCAATTGCTGCTGCTGCTGCTGCTGCAGCTGCTGCTTTATCACGTTTTTCGAAACCCTTTTCAATATGTCTTTTGTAATCATCGCTAGAAATTTTGATTTTGGTTACGCAAGTAGTAGTAGTAGTAGTAATAGTTTCCGTTGATTCTTTTGGAATCACTTGGTCAACCCGTTCATCAGTCTTTTGAGTATCCTCTTCCAACGTAATACCAGCGGCAACGTATTGTCTTTGAATTTCTTCCAAAATCTTAACACTGTCCTCCTTCAACGATTCTACCATTTCTTCCTTACCAAATGTTACTTTCTCATCTATTATTATATCATCTTTTTCACCACGTTGTTCATCCGTTAACGATTCACCTTCAGCGGTGTCTTCAAATTGTTCAATCTTCACCGTAATTTCTTTCCCTTTGATATCCGGTTGTTTTTCGGTAACAGTAGAAATCATTTCTTCATCAGTTTCGAATTTTTCTTTATCGATAATCACATCGAATCTACTCGAATCGGCTATTTTCATTTCGCTCAATTTAATTTTAGCCTCTTCCAATGATAATGATGTACGCGTGGTCATTGATAAATCTTCGGTAGGTGTTTTGGCTTCGTATTCGCGTTTCAATGTATCAACTAATTCCTGACAACTGATATCTAATTTATTTTCTATCAATTCACTTTCTACGTCCTGATCGGCAACGGGTATTACGGTAAATTTCGTCTTTGTAATTGTAATTACTGTTGCATCAGGTATCACCGATTCTTTGACAGATTCTATAACGCTTAAATTCTCGGATGAATTAGTAATCGACTCCTGTTCTAAATCAGCCGAATCACTTTGAGATGATGATAATCTTTGTTTTTTAATTGTAGTCTCGTATTCCTCTAATTCTTGATTGAAAACTTGCGACGGTTGCAACGTTTCAGATATTTCAATTTTCTCGTCACCGATCATCCAATTAACAGGTTTTATTTCAAGATCGTGTTTCAATTTAAATCTTGGCGATACTAGGGGTGGACTTTCGATTTCAAAACTGTCAGCACGTTGTTTTATCGTACCACTTATATCATATTTTTCTGTCGTCGTAATAGGAATTTGTTCTTGTATCAAAGAATAATCAACGTTAATGTCTTCCGATACTGTACTAGGACTAAAAGTCATGTCACGTTCTTGGGCAATCCTTTCCAATGAATCCACAGCTGCACTTTCATGCAACGACGATGTTGTTTTACTAACGGTATCTTCAGAAATATTGTATTCGTCCATTTCTAATGATGGTACGTCTACAGAATCTTGTCTAGATTGGCTACTACCACTGATACCTGGCTCAACTATTTCCAATACCCAGGCACCGGAAACATCGTACATCACTTTATCCTTTGACAAACTGACGTCGTATTGGGGCCCCAATGATTCCCTTTGCAATGATTCCGCTTGAGCACTTGACCTATCGGATTGTAATTTTTCCGATTGAGGACTAAAAGTTGTTGGTTTAGTAATATCCTCGAGTTCATTAGTATCAACGTCCATTGTCTCTTCCAATTCTAATTGATCTTCTTCCAATTCTATTTGGTCCGATATACTACTAGAACTCAACGTCACATCTTTGATAGGTAATATGGATGAAATGTGTTCACCTTTATCACGATACGAGGATTCCTCATCTTTCGTCAAATCATCGCTAATACTAGTCGATTTTTTATCATCCTTTTCTATAATTGATCTTAATTTCATCAATTTATCAATTTCATCCATGGATTCTGTCGATTGTTCTTCTACCTCGGTTGTCGTTATTTTCATGATACTTTCAAATCTTTTCGTCAAATCGTCGGCCCATTTTTCGTAATCAGTTTCGGCACTTTCCTTGAGTAATTTAAGTAAATAATCACTTTCGATCGTACCTTTAGTACCAGCAGTAGCAGTACCAGTACCATCACCTGGTAACAGTTTTTCGGTTAACGAAGATCTCTTTTTAATTTCAGTTTCAACAGTTTTCATTAAAGACTCGACTATTCGTTTAGCTTCTATTTCTTTAGCCGCTCGTATTTGTCTATCCTCCAATGTTGTTTCAACAACAACCATTTGTTCCAATTTTTCGTCACTTTTTTTCCTACTAGGTACAAAGTGTCTAGCATCGAAACTTTCAACAGTTTCCTTATGGGATTCACCTTTGGTTACCATTTCTACTTTACCCAAATCTTCGAATATTTTATATTTAGACGAAGTTTCTTTTTTGGTAGTATCTTTAACTTTATTATCATCTTCGTCATCTTTACTAATCCTGACTGCTATATCAACGTCACTTTCCTTCAATTTACTGATACCAGATTCCTCTGTCATAATACCTTCCTTGTCTTCTAATTTTTTCGACAATTCTTCTTTCGTAGCTTCAATTCTACTTTGGGTAGCACTCGCATCGATTGTTTCCTCACCGTCTTTCAAATTAATCGACAATTTTTTAACACCCCTTTCGTCTATTTTCTTCATTTTACATTCCTCCTTTTCCACCGTTTCACCAGACGATTCTCTTTTCATTTTGGATTCGGACAATTTTTCACTTTCCAATTGTTCCTTTTCCTCGTGTTTGATGTATTTATCGGTACCTTTGGAAATTTCCGAAGATACTGTTTCCTTTTTTTCTAATTTACTCGACGCTTTATGATCTATTTTGGATAACTTAATCGTATCCTTATCAGTAATCTCGTCGGGTGATGATTTCAATCCTTTTTCGGGATCTGTTGTAAACGTTTGCGAATACGTTTGAGTTTCACTCTTGGATGTTGTTTCCTGACTTGATGATTTTTTTTCGGTAACTGTACAGGTTTCAGTTTCCGTTTTAACGTGATAACCCTTTTTAATATCTTTTTCGGATTTAATCGTTGAAGATGATGAAGAAGAAGAAGTATCCATAATACGTTTAGGAATACGCGATTCAAATTCTTTTTTCTTATCCACAGGTGATGTAATAACGTATTCATCTTGTTGATGAACGATCATCGGTTTATTATCCATTTCCGTTTTGCTGTCCAACGTCGTACGTTTGGATTCAATCGAAATTTTACTCTTCAATTCCTTGTGATTTCTATCCTTTTCAACTTTGGCCATTGAAACTGGTATACGTGATTCAAATTCTTTCCTTATTATCTTTGTATCACCTTCGACAATGACTTTTTGTTGAGAAATCTTATCGCCACCCTCCGATTTGTCTTTTCGTAAATCATCTTCATCATCAGTCTTTTCTTTTTGTACTTCTGTGATATGCGTAACTTGTTTATCGCGTGTTTCTAATTTATTATCTTCCCTCGTCAATTTGTCATCGAAATTAGTAGGAATGTAATGTTCTTCGTATAGCACTTTTGGTTCTAAACTAGTTTCAGGAACATTTATTATTTCAGTGGTTACTGGTATATCATCTTCGTCACCTTCGATTTGAACAGTTTTCGTAACCTTTTCTTGCACCAAACTACCATCTTCTTGTACTTTCCATATTATGGTGGTTTCTTCTTTGATAACACGTCTACTACTAGTTGTTGACACATCCTTAGTCAAACTTCTATCCTGTAACGAAGAAATATCTTCCATCTGTTCCAATTGTTTAGAATGTGACTGCAATTGTAATTCCCTTTCCTTGCTTAAAATATCCATTGATGATTCAGCCTGACCCATTAAATATTCCTTTTGCAATTCTAACTCGTGTTTCTCGACAAATCTATCCATGTGTTCTGGTAATTCTTGCTGATGTATTTCTCTAGCTTCCTCGATCGATTTTTCCAATTGTTCTGGCAAAATTTGTACCAATTTAACCTCATCCATTTCTTTTTCCAATTTATCGTATAAACCTTTTTCCATTTCCATCTCTTTTATTTTCTTTAATTCGGCTTCCTCTTTCTTTCTTAATTCAGCTTCTTCTTCTTCTTGTTTCTTTTTCAGTTCTGCTGCTTTTCTATATGCTTC